AACCTCAGAGCTCTGCTAAATCTCAGGCCTATATCCAGTTCCTCAAATATCTTTAGCTTTGGTGGAAATAAAGGCAATCTTTACTGGCAGCTGTGCACGCAGCCCTTTCTTATCTTCCCTTTCCAGATCTCAGAAGTTGGTTGAAACAAAAACAGTTCTTACAGCATGGTAGGCAGAATTCTAAAATGATCCTAATGACTCACTCCCTTGTGTAATCCCATGGAGTGTGGGTAAAACCTGGGACTTGCTTCTAGCTAACAGAATATGACAAAGAAGATGGGATGTTACTCTTGGAATTGCTACATTGTGAAGACTCTATCTTAGCAGACTGGATGAAGAAAGTCTCCTTCTGACCTTGAGGAGGTAAGCTGCCATGCTGGGAGAGGGCCACAAGGCAAGGGCCTCTGGGACCTGAGAGTGGCCCCACATTGACAGGCAGCAAGAGAGCGGGAACTTCAGTACTATAACCACAAAGAACTGAATTCTGCCAGTGACCTTTGAGCCTGGAAGAGCTTCAAAAGAAACACAGCAAAGTCAACATCCCGACTGCAGCCTTGGAAGACCCTCAGCAGGGCACTCAGCCAAGCTGTGATGGCAGTCCTGACCCATGGAAACGAAGATCAAAAATGTATGTTGTTGCGAGCTGCTAAAATTGTTTCACAGCGATAGAAAACAAATACACTCCACCCCTTGACAAATTTGTTAATAGGACCACCCATCCTAAGACAAACACTCAGAAGGGCAAACATCAGATATAAACATCCTACTACGTTGACAGGAATACTCACATATTAATGATATCATTAGCAAAACAAGCTCCAAGTCAGTGGGTTCTTTCTTTTGACGTACGCCTCTATACATAACCAAAAATGCTTCACCTACTTCTCCAGAGGCGGTTGATTTGGCTAAATAAAAATGGGGTTCTTAGGAGACCAAGGAGGAGAAGAGAAAATAATGCTTTTTCCCTCTCCAGAACTTATCTAAGAATGGAAGGCAGGTGTTTCTATGCTACATGTAGCATGACTTTTGCAGTCATGGATATTGACATAGCGCTTCCAAATATAATTAATTCTCTTCCCTCCCTTATTCCCACCCACAGCCAGAAGGTGCTGGAAGATTGCACTGCCTGAACACTGACATCTTTACTTGACATATCCAAAAGAGTGGGAAATTGTAACACACCTCCATCGGAAACCATCAAACACTAGTAATTGCAGAAAATATTTGAATGACACAATTAATAGACTTGATTTAGTGGGATGCTATACTTTAGAAAGAAAATTCATATGCTTTCTAAACACACATGCAATGTAGAAAAATTAAGTGCAAACTAGGCCACAAAGCGTTTTTCAACAAATACTAATGAACTGATATATTTAACACAAACTCTAACCAAAGTGCCACAACATTAGAAATCAATAACAAAGAAACACCCTCCAAAGAACTTCTAAATAATTCATGAATAAAAAGTGTCTAATGGAAATTTAAAAGCTTTTAACCTTAAGTGGTGATGGGAGTATTACAAATCAAAACTCACGAGATGCAGCTTTCAGCAGACATTACTGATTTCCTACTCAACAATCATTCGCCCATCTTCGTGCCCTTGGAGTAGGTCGGGGACACCCGTTTTCAGCCATATGATTAGGATTCAGGCCCACCAACCAGCTGCATTTTCTTGGTCTCAGCATATACAGATTAAATTGAAATGCCTAAGGGTCAGTGAGCTGCAGTTGAATCTCCCACGGCTGACTGTGGCAAAATATTTTAAAATAGGGCATGACGGCACCGACCCCAAATTTTGGTGCGTTGTACTGTAGTAAAATTAAGAAGTGTTGTTCATTGAAAACAAACAAACAAAACTAATATGATAGTGGAAAGACAAAGCACAGAATGGAGAATATATTTAAGACACTTGAAAAAGGACTTATATGCAGATATCCAGAATATATATAAATAACTCTTGTAAGTCAATAAGAAAACGACAATAGAAAAATTGTCAAAAAGACCTTACAAAAGAGGATACCCAACATGTGAATGGTCAATATCATAGTCATTAGGGAAATGCTGAATTTGCATTTATATATCCAAAAGAGTGGGAAATTGTAACATACCTCCATCAGAAACTGTCAAATACTATAATGGTAGGAAATATTTGAAACATGTTAAAAAAAAAATAAGGTCCACAGCCACAAGAGGTCAAAACCAGAAACAATCCAAACGTCCCTCAGTAGAACGGGAAAATGTGAAATATGCATAAATAAGAACAAATGAACTTCAGTTTATACAGTTCACAATCATCATGTTGAGAAAAACAAACCAGACACAAAAGAGTACGTCCTGTCCCGTGCTGTAGCCCTTTATATGAAGTTTGAAAATAGGCTGAAAACCTGTGGTGCTGGAAGTCAGTGTCAGGGGGTGGACTCGACATGGGCAAGAAGGAGCTTCTGGGGCGCCGGAAATGTTCTATTTCTTGATCTGGATGCTGTTTACTTTGCAAAAATTTACTGAGGCGTACACTTATGGCTTGTCGTACATAGGTTATATTTCAATGAAAATTCACATTAAAACGTAATGTACAAAAGATATGAGTCTCAATAAGTCACTGATGCTGGTTGTCCTAGAGTCCGTGTAGAGGCAAAGAAAATGGCCTCTTCCCAGCCCTAGTCTTTTTGTTGTCACTTAAGCCATGAAACACTTCTGCTTGAACTATACAAAGTGTCTTGTTGAAACAGCTCTGTCAGAGGTTGCAGTGAGCCAAGATTGTGCCACTGCATTCCAGCCTGGGCGATGGAGTGAGACTCTGACTCAAAAAAGAAAAGAAAACAGAAGAAAAGAAAAGAAAAGAAACAGCTCTGTCAGCTTCCCTCACTCTCCATCCTAAGAATTTATTTACAGAGATCTAAGGGACACATGAGGAACATCTCCCCTCAGACATTCAGACAGTTTCAGCACATTTCCTCTAATAGCAACCATGTTTGCATAAAGGTAATTTTGCCTCCAGTGTGGATTAACGTTTGCATTCTCACTTTCAAAGAAGTTTCAACTCATGACTTCTGAATAACTAAATGTACATTTGGTTATTTTTGTCTTGCATATTGAATGAGGCTTTTTTTTTTCTGAGAATATTGCAGTCCCCATCTCTTGACAAACAGAAACTCCTTATAGGTTTAAGTGGGCGGTGGGTTTTTCTGCTTCTATTTATTAAAATATGATAATTCCATGCTCTGAATATTATCTTATAGATATATTATGAAATGTGCCCCCAGAATGTATGTATAAAGATGTTTACTGCAGCAGTGCTTGTAAAATAAAAAGAATGGAAAGGTCTTATGAATTTACTAATAGGCAGAATGGTTAAATTAATTCTGGTACAACTGTGCAGCAGACATTTTAAAGTAGATTTCTATTAATATAAATAGGCCTCCAAGATATTTTAAGTGATAAAAGTAAGATGTAGGTCAATACATAGAAAGTATTCTACCAACCACAGTTTTAAAACTACATACATATAATATATATATATATATATATATAATGTATAATTTAAAAATATATATATATTAGCAGTTGTTTTTCTGTGGAAGGTGACCGCAGACCTAGGGCTTTGGGGCGGGAGGCAGATAATTCATTGTTCCTCATTGCCCATTTGTTTGAATTATTATTATTTACTATGTGCAAGCATACATTTGAAATAATAATACAATCTCAGGGCCTAAGTCTTACTCTAGACATCCTACTTAGAGCTGGCCCAGCTGCATTACTGTCTGTACGCAGTTTAAGGACCCTGCTGTGATGTTTTGAATATACTGATTTAAACACCTGGTAGGTACAGAGAGCTGAGACCTGCACTAAGATAAATCGACACACACATGTATCTGGCGTCCAGAAAGGAGAGTACACAGAGGAAGACCTTGTGGTTTCCAGCCCTCCTGGTCCAAGTCAGACTTACCTCTGTGGACTTCCAGCTGCACGGGGTCACTTAGCACTGAGAGACCTGTCTGGCACCTGTATTCACCACTGTCGTTGACACTGGCAGAGGTGATGCTGTAGCTGGGGGTCGAGATCTGAGTGGCTGTACCGTTGAGAAACCACTGTGTGGCGCTGTTCCCAGGCACATGGGGCCCCACACACTGTAATGTTACAGTTTCCCCTTGGAACACGCTGACCCATGGTGGCTGCAGAGTGATCACTGCCTTTGTGGGGTCTACTTGGAGATTAAAAGAAGAAAAAGAAAAAGATCAAGTGGAGTAAAAGGGAGGGCTCTGGGCAACCGGTAAGGCTTTTTGTGGATAGCACAAGGGAAAAATACATATTTAGATTTATTTGAAAAACAGGCGAGTGGAAACCTACAAAAGCCAGCCTTTAAGAGTGTTCAACTCCTGCTGCAGAGACTTATGCCTGTGTTATTAAATCCTCATCTGGGTGTTGGGAATTTGGGGCTCCTGAGGATTAAATTACTGTTGTAGGTTTTTCTGCTGGGAGCAATGAAGCAGGCTTTTAGACTTGGACAAGCTGTTTTCCTTATCCTCTGAGCTACACTGTCGCTGAGAGTACAGCGCAGGTCAGCAGCTTCTGCACTGGAAACGGAGGTTGAAACTCTTCTCTTTGAAACCTTCAGTACTTTCCTGGCTCTTTCTAAGGAGGAAAAAAACCCACTCATCTTTCCTGTAAAGGAGACTGGTTTCCCAACGTCCCATTGGGAAACCCAGCAGACTACGTCAGTGTTTGTGCAATTCTGGCCCTTTCCTGCTGTTATATAGACATTTAGGCATTTTATTTAGAGGAAAGAGCTCATTCAGAAAACTTTTGAATGAGATCTTAAAAATCACCGTTCTTATGAAAATCATAGTCTGAATATGGGAGATTTTACATAATTTGTAAATCTTTCTCCTTTCTTTGCTTTCCCTATATGCTCTTCTTCTGGTTAATAGGACCCATCCTTTGGAAGTAGGAAAATGGCATAGAAGTAGAGCTGGAGATCACTCACCCACTTGCCCATCAACTGGAACTGCAAGAGATCAGAGAATAAAGATACCAGTTGGTCCAGGGAAAATGATGAAGAAGAGAGAATTTGGGAGGCAGAATTAATGTAGACTCTGAGGGATCAGCTTAGGTCTTTTGAGTTTCTATTCCCTTTCTCAAAATTAAGTACTAACAGAACTGAACAAGCTGCAGATGGTGATCAATGAAACGTTACTGTGGTGCTTCCAGACTTAATGGTCCTCAGGGCCTCCCTTCCCACCCTTTTGGTAAAATAAGCTCTGATAAACCATGGAAGCAGACACAGCTGTCTCCAGACTCAGGAGTTCTACCCAAAGTTACCACAGCAAGACAAAACCCTTGACTCCCCACAACCACAGCCTGTACCCTTCTAACCATCCTCTCAGAGACCAACTTACCCCAAAGGAGCAGAACTGTCAAGAACCACATGTTATCTTCAAGCTGGTGGGAGCAGTGAAATCTGTAACATGTCAGATATTGAAGAGGTTCTGCTGGGGGCTCCGGAGCCAAAGTAGAAAAGAGGAAGGAAATTGCCTCTTCTGAACATTTTCATCATGTTCCTTTTTTGAGAAATACATCTTGAATTCATGAAACATGGTTTCCCCAATTCTCATACCTCTTAGCCCACCTCTCCCAGTTTGAAGCTCTGACTTTTAGGTTATGAACTCTCAGAATCCAGGGAAAAGGCTGAAGTTTTATTGACATTCTATTCCGATTATCTTTTCCTTCTGCCTCTTCTGTTTCTTAGGGTTAGAATATGGCAAAACCTCACTTTTAAAAATTGGTTCAATGCCTGGGTAATGTTGCCAAATGATCATTCAAATCCAGAAGTTTCTATATCAGCCTCTATCAGGCCATGGGAAAAGTTACTCATCTATGAGAACTGCCCTAATACAAACCACCCTCTGCTCCTCTGGGGAACACAGACAGGATCAATCTCCCATTTTTGTTAAAAAAGAAAACGAACTCTCTTCCTGAAAGACGTCATGAATTTGGAGTGTTTATTTTGGCTAAATCCAAGGAAATTAAATGTTTAATGTGGATGCTATAGAGGAAAAAAATAACTCTTGTACATGGATAGGAATATCCTCAAGAAGAGAGTTTCAGAGTACAAGTGGGGAGCTCTGTGCCGCTAAACTGAGGTGGTTTCTGAGACAGACTTGTAACCCTATAAAAAGACTTTTAGCTGTGGTAAGAGAGAGAGCTGAACAAAGTGGGAGTGCAGAGAGACTTGGGTGGCAATCCTACTGGCAGAGAATGAAAACTGATGGCAAATCATGCTGTAGATTGACATACTGGCCCCAGGTTCTCACCTCTCCCTGAATCGACACTCTCTCCACAGCCTCATAAATGTACCTCTCTGACTCTTGACAGTGGCTCATCATGCAGCTTTCACTGGCCAGTGAAATATGAATGAAAACGACATGGTGCTAATTTCAAACTTAGCACTTAGGAAGGAAGCTTCACACATTATCTCTCACCCTCTTGTTCTGCGATTGCTGAGACAGGATCATGTTTTAGCTAGCCAGCCACAGTACGAGGCAGAACTGCCCTGGACATTGTAGCTTGACGTGCAGCTGCCTCACCTGCCCTGCCAACCTGTGAGTGAGAACTAAACGCTTACCATTATGTGCCACTGAGATTTTAAGATTGTTACACAAACAATAGCTGACTGATGCAAATGAAAAGCAAGGAAGAAAGGCTGGGAAGAATCAGGTGTTCTGAAGAGATGAGAGAAGCCTTAGCTTGTTGAAATTTATGTTCAAAGCCTGTATTTGTTAATTATTTTACTATTTTGTCTCCAAAGTTTTCAACTGCATGCATGTACCATAATTTATTTCATCAACTTCTGTTCATGAACATGTAGGTTATTTTTAAATTTTTACTGTATGATCAGTAAAAAAGGCTGTTTACTACCATTGATAGTCCTGTGTCTACCTTTAAACATTTGACTTGCTGCTTCCTTGGAACACATTCCTAGAATCAGCAGTGCTTACTTACTCAAAGGAAATGTACATTTTTTTACTTTGGATAAGATGCTATCAAATTGTCTGTGATCATTGTCCTCATCACTGAATAAATGATGAGTGTTATTTTAGAGTGCTTATTACGTGCCAGACAAATACACTTGATGCATGTTTTCTTATTTAAGCCTCACAATAATCTGTGAGTAGACAATAGTATCTGCATTTTACAAATAATACATCTAGTGAAAGAGGAGATCAGTAATTTGTCCAAGGTTGTGAAAAGTAGAAGCAGGATTCAAAACCAGACAGTTTGATTTCCTTTATGTACTCACCAAGGGAGTAGAACAGTGCCCACCCCATCCCTTACAATTCTTGCTTTGTAGGAAAATAGCTGCTTCTTTGAAAAATAAGTGAAATCATTTCATTGATCAAGATAATATGAGGGAATGAGGATTGCTGTGTAAGGGGAATGTAAGATCTATAACCTCGAAGGATAAACTACTTTGTTTTTCTAATAAGTATCTATTGTTTCCAAATGTTGAGGAAATAGCCATTGATAGAGGTTTAAATTCATGTAAGAAGAGCTAGAAAAACGGAGCAAACATAGTAATGCACGCAGAGCAGTTTTCTAGCATTTGATGGACAATGAAAATCATGCTCTGTTCTCACTTATTATTATTTTTTTTCTATTTTCTTGTCTTGGGTATGTCTTTAGCTCTGTTCTCACTTATAAGCGGAGCTGAGCAATGGGAACATGGACACATGGTGGGGGAACAACACTCTCCAGCCTGTCTGGTGGGGCGAGGGGAGGGAGAGTATGAGGAAGAACAGCTAATAAATGCTGGGCTTAATACCTAGGTGATGGGCTGATCTGTGCGGCAAATCACCATGGCACACATTCACCTACGCAACAAACCTGCACATGAGCCCCAGAACCTAAAATAAAAATGGATGGAAAAAAATCATGATGCTTACAAGAGCCATTAGGAGAATTTACATCCATATACGACATTTGTATTTCCATATACTGATCCTTTTTTTATGCATATATTGTTATTTTCTCTCTCTTTTTTATACTGATACTTTTATAATGCCATCATAGTCATAGGCTTCATTTTTTTTTTAAAATCACTTTACAGGCCAGGCGCGGTGGCTCACGCCTGTAATCCCAGCACTTTGGGAGGCCAAGGCGGGTGGATCACGAGGTCAAGAGATCGAGGCCATCCTGGCCAACACGGTGAAACCCTGTCTCTACTAAAAATACAAAAAATTAGCCAGGCGTGGTGGCACATGCCTGTAATCCCAGCTACTTGGGAGGCTGAGACAGGAGAATCGCTTGAACCCAGGAGGCAGAGGTTGCGGTGAGCCGAGAATGCGCCATTGCACTCCAGTCTGAGGAACAAGAGAGAAACTCTGTCTCAAAAAAAAAAAAAAAAAAAAAAATCAATTTACAAATACAATTTTCTCAAGGGTAGATGCAAAGTCTTATTTGCCAATTTTAACAAAAATTGCTGTCTTCTCTACTAGAGAAAATGATTTTTGAACAATTATTTGATGTGTTTTTTAAAAGGTAAGATAGGCTGGGTGCAGTAGCTCATTCCTATAAGCTCAAGCTCAACACTTTGGGAGGCCAAGGTGTATGGATCGCTTGAGCCCAGGAATTTGAAACTGACTGGGCAACATAGTGAAATCCCATCTCTACTAAAAATAAAAAGAATTAGCCGGGCGTGGTAGTTCATGCCTGCGGTCCCAGCTAACTGGGGAGGCTGTGACAGGAGGATTGCTTGAGTCTGGGAGGTTGAGGCTGCAGTGAGCTGCGATTGTGCCATTGCACTCCAGCCTGGGTGACAGAGTAAACAAACAATGCTAAGATAATTTAAACTTCATATAGAATTGAGCAATAATTTATTTTATTTTAATCTCTGTGAGTAAAAAACAGCAGTGCTTTATTTCCTACTGAAGTCCTTCTTTGATGACCGTGTGTTTTAGAAACTACTCAAATGTATTTACTAAATTTTCGGTAAAGAATTGCATATAAGTAGTTGTCTATAGCACAATTTTGCTTAATATGTTTTGTATACTGTTTTAACAGCTCTTAGGTGAAATATGCTACTTTTATGTATTTGCTAATGCTTGAAGTGTTTTTCAAAGATTCACATAAAGTTTATCTGAAGTTTTTCTTCAACTACCATTCATTATAAAAAGTTCCCCAGTGGTTCAATTTTAAGTTTCCATTAATAACTCATTAATTTTTTTATACTTATTCTTACTACTCGATCTTTTATTTTTAGAAATTCTCATCTATGATTTTATAGGAACTTTTACAGTAAATTTCTGGTGGTATTATAATATATCTTTTACAAGTTGTTTCAATTTGGGATGACCTTGTCCATCTCCTCTTCCCCTGACCTCACCTTGTTGTGCTGTCACAAACACGTCTATCAAGCCCTTTGCCTATTTTCCTATGTGCCCTTGAGATTCTTTCCTACGCTTTTAAGTGATCAACTCATAAATCTCAGTCTGTTTACTTTTACATATGCAGTTTTCATCTTTCCCTAGATAGCAAGGCCACTCATTTTGATTTTGTTCCTGTATCACAGCAGCAAGAGGAGAAGGATGTGAAAACTGTTAAAATATTTATGTAGCTTGTGGTCCTAAAAATAGTGATCATTGGAAGTGAGATGAAAACTCTTCACGCCGGGCGCGGTGGCTTTCGCGAGTAATCCCAGCACTTAGGGAGGCCGAGATGGGCGGATCACGAGGTCAGGAGATTGAGACCATCCTGGCTAACATGGTGAAACCCCGTCTCTACTAAAAATTCAAAAATTAGCCGGGTGTGGTGGTACGCTCCTGTAGTCCCAGCTACTGAGGAGGCTGAGGCAGGAGAATCACTTGAACCTGGGAGGCGGAGGTTGCAGTGAGCCGAGATCGTGACATTGCACTCCAGCCTGGGCGACAGAGCAAGACTGTCTCTAAATGAATGAATGAATAAATAAATAAATTCATTCTAAATAGGAATGCAGGATGTCAGCTTCTGGCCTCACAGACTCTGAGTCTGTCTATCACAGGGGAAAAAAAAAAAATAAAATGCTTCACATGAACTCCTTCCCCAAGTTTTAACTGCCTGGTAGTGTGAGTCAGGTGCAGACACTGCAGGGCTCTCCTGAGATCCTCATTTAGTATACATGTGTGAGAGACTGCAGTGGCTTGTTAGATCAGACAGTATCAAAGCTCACCATCTTCCCTGCCCCCTAACCCAGCACCATTTTTCCTTGACCATCTTGGTGTGTTAGCAAAGCACTTTCAGAGTCATGGTGACAAGGACAGGGGGCCTTGGCTGGGGTGGAGAACTCTAGGTAGCAGGGGTAGAGGGGTCAGAAAAGTCTATGAGGTAAGAGATTGGCCACAGACTCTTCCTACTTCTTTGTCCTTGTTCCACCTCAGGGGAAGAAAAAAACTTTACTTTCTTTTAGAACTTAAAAAAGTCAACTAATATTTTATACAAATGAAAAAATGTGTAATATATATGTGTATATGGTGAATGGTGCAAAATAAGAAAATGAACATTTATGA